ATAATCTAGAATTTCCTGATGAGTTGGATAGAATGAGTAAGTGATAGTAAGATTCACAATAGGCTATTCGGGACCTTGTGTTGTGGATTTCCTCTTCCAGGGGTGAATCTTTTGAACAAGAGGTCTGCCATGTAGAGGCAGATGATTGGCTAGCTGCTAATGTACGTGAATCACCAAGATTGTCACCCCAGGCCTCTAGGAAGGAAATCCATCGTACATTTGGTACATCCATCTTTGCAGGCGTATTCGTAGCTGAAATATGTGATCTTGTCACGCACGCTAGATCGATGAAAGCATCTGGCATACTTTGAGCTATGCTCTGGAGATCTAATATGAGTAGCACTTCAGTTTCGTGGGGATCTAAATGAGACAAAGTGGGGGTCGTCCACGATAATTCGGGTTATTCTTCAGGAACGTTAACGTTCTTATCTCCCCTTAACGATGGGAATACTGTCTCATAGAAGTGACAATTCGTGAAGCGAGCGGTAAACATATCACCTGTCAAAGGTTCTAAGTAATGAATAATCAAAGGAGAATCATATCCAACATAGATTCTTATCCTTCACTAAGGCCCTATTTTTGTACGTAAGGGCGGTGAGATAAGCACATATACCGCACCACCAAAAATGCGCAAATGCGATATGTTGGGTTCGTATCCAGTAACCAACTGAAGGGCACTAAATGGTTGTGTCACAACAGGCCTCTGGCGAACCAACTTTACTGCGTGCAATATTGCATGGCCCCAAACAGTGATCAGAAGCTTGGTACATATGACCAACAATCGAGCAATCATTTGTAAGTGCTTAATGAAAGTCTCTGCCAGGCCATTCTAGGTGTGAACATAGGGTACGAGATGTTCAACTTCAACCCCAACTGGCATGCAATAGTCATCAAAAGTTTTAGATGTGAATTCTCTAGCATTGTCTAATTGAATAAATTTGAATGGATAATCAGGGTGGTGAGCCCTAAGCTTCATAACTTGAGCCAACAGTTTGGAGAATGTAGCATTCCTCGTGGACAATAAGCACACGTGTGACCAACGTGTGGAAGCATAAACCAAAACCATAAAGTCTATAAATGGTCCACAGGGAGGGTGAATCAGTCCACAAATGTCCCCCTGAATCTGTTGTAGAAAAATGGGAGGATTCGAACGAATCTTGTCATAAAAAGGCTTAGTAATAAGCTTTCTCATGGAACACGTTTGACATACAATTCCTTGGATTGAACCTAAACTTCGAGTTAGTGGATGCCCATGTGATGATTTGAGGATTCGGCGCATTGTTATTCATCCAGGATGTCCCAAACAATCATGCCAAAGTGTAATTTCATGCGCAGTCCTAGTAGTAGGGCCGGCCAAAGTGTCATTCTATAGGGCGTATGGTCGTAGTATACATAACAATCAGGATACGCTCTATCTTCTCTAGAATACACTCCTAGCCATATTCGTAGGAAATTATGCATAGAAATTCAACTCCATTTTCTACGTGGGTTTTAGCGTGGTAATTGTTATCTCTAATGTCTTTGAAACTTAACAACGTTCTTCCAGAACGTGAAGAATAGAATGTGTTAGAAATGGTCAAGATTGTACCATTGGACAACATTATACGTGTGTTACCATATCCTTCTATCAAGTTGGATGGGCCTGAGAGGGTTGTCAAAGGTGCATTCTAAAGTATGAAGTTAGTGAAATAGATGCGTTCATGTAAAACTGTGTGTGTGGTTGCACTATCTGCCAAACAACTAATTCCCCACTAGTTATACCTAGAATGAAAAATTAATTTGAATCGGTCGTATTCATAAAAGTTCTAAAAACAAATATCAATTCAAAATAATTTCATTTATTCAAGGATGGTAATTAATTAAAGCTTAATATCCAAAAACAAATCATCAACAAATAATCCAAACATAAAGGAAAATTGTTTAAAAATCAACCAGAAAACAAAAGGGGGTTCAGCCACTAGGTGGAATTTGGCCCCATTGTGCAATGTTTAACTAACTAAAATTGTTTACGTCTAAGATTCTAATCTTCCATAGGGGTGGTATCCTCTTGAAAGTCAGAAACCTCTATCTTTGTAGTCTTCGGTTCCTCCACTTGCACGAAGTTTGATTCAAACTTCTTACGATGAAAATGATATTCAGCTACAACCTTTTAAGGAGCTCAGCAAACACGAGACCAATGGTCATTTGAACCACAGTGATAGCATATATCCGCATGCATGGTTTCAGGTGCTTTGCCCTTATTCTTAAAGTTTGAGGCCTTAGGAGCGAGGTTTAAGCGCTTCTGGGCTTTGTTTCCTCCCTTGGATGGGCCTTGCCTTTGTTGACCTTTGCATGGTGGCTTCTGGCTGCCATTACCACTCCTCTTTTGGCGTTTTGGGCGTTGGTTTGTGTTATAATGTGCTTCAGGCACAGTAGTCACCAGTAGGTTGAGCTTGATCATTTTTCATCAACAGCTGGTTCTGCTTTTCAGTGAGAAGTCAAACAGAGATCAAATCCGAGAACTTAGTGAACTTCTGAGCTATAAATTATTGCTGCAGGATAATATTAGAAGCAGAGAAGGTCGAACAGGTCTTCTCTAGAAGATCCTCTTCAGTCAAAGTTTCATTACAAAACTTGAGAAGTGATTGGATTTGACAAACTTTAGAATTATATTCATTCACAGACTTAAAGTCTTGGAAACGCAAATGTTGCCAATCATGTCTTGCTTCAGGCAAGAATATGTCATTTTGGTGATTAAAACGATTAGCCAAAGCGACCCATAGTGCACGTGGATCCTTCTCAGCAAAGTATGTAGTTTGCAAGGCGTCATGGATATGTCTTCAGATGAAGATCGTAGCAGTGGCTTTTTCAGCTTTGCCAACAGGATTGTCCGTCTCTTCTTCAATGACGGGACGCAAGTTCTTTGCAGTGAGGTGGAGCTTCACATCTTAGACCCACTTGAGGTAGTTCCTTCCAGATCTCTAAAGCGGTGAAGTCAAGTTTGTTTAAATTCAACATGTTCCTATCACAAAATATATGGACAAGAAATGGTGAGTGTAATGGAGAAAAATCAATCCATTCATATAGGAGTAGAACCTATAGGTTCTAATAGACAAGTATTTTGCATGAAAAAACTTTGGGCTTTCATGGGTGATGTTTTTACAGAAACTTTAGGTTTTCAAACAAGGCATGTTCATAAGAAACTTCAGGTTTCAAAATAATTATGAACTTCAGGTTCATATGTTCTTGCAGGCAAACACAAATATATACACGAAAAGATGCAACAAAAATATGCAAACAAAACTTCAAGTCTATAGTTATAGTTGAATTAAGTATTTGGACTTCGGGCCAAAATTTAAAGTGTGGTGAAAAAAAAAAAAAACCCAAATTGTCTAAAAGTATTAAACAACGAAGCTCGGGGCCCAAAAAATATAGGCCAAAGCCTATGGGTGCTGAGTAAATTTGGTCTGTGTGACCCAGGCCCAAAAATTGGGTTGGGGTTTCTCAAATGTAGGCTTCAGGCCCACGGGGAGGAGAATGACAAACCGGGCCGCATTAGGAGAGCCCCCAAAAAAAATCCACAGGCGGCGAGCCCAAGAATTTTGTGTTATTTTGTTTTTCACATTCTGATCTAGCCCTAATATTAATAGTGGGCTGTAGGCCTAATATAGTACATCGGTTGCATAAAAGGAGTCGAGCCCAAAAGGGTGGCCCAAGTGGGGGCCGGATCATGTGTAACGGGATACAAGGGAACACAGATACGCCAGCGGAGCCGGGATTTGGTGCGGCACACAACGCCGGGACACCATGGCCCTTCGAGTTAGTGTTAGGTCAAGCCAAGGATTGGGCCGCATCATGCGAGTCCTGTTCTTAAAAAAAATTCTTGTTTTTTTTTCTACAGGTCGAAAAGGTCAGCCCAAAGATTTGGGGCTTAGGGTTTTAACAAAAAAAAATAAATAAAAAGCCCTAACCAGAGCTGGGTGCAGTCACCGGGGACGAAGGCCAGTGCCGTCACTGCAAGCGGCTGTGTTTTGGAAAAACTTCCTCAGTGCAAGGTTATAAGTTCGACGGCGAGCAAGTTCTAGGGGATGGAGAAAGTACCTCGATATCGGGGAAAAAAAACCTAAGAAATTCAAACTGGAATTTCACCCAAATTTGATGAAATTTCTTCGGGAATTTCAATGCTATCGAATCAAAATTACGATACCATTTTGGATTTGGTCAGAAAATTGCACAGCAAAGTCGTGGTCTCGCTTTAGGTGATGTGGATTTTCTGGGTTTTGACGCTATGGGCATTGGGTTTCAAAGGAGCTTGAGCTCCATGCTTGCTCAGGGTCATGGGGTTTGAAGAACCTAGGCGGTGATTTTTGAATTTTTTTTTTTCAATTATGAAATTCAATTATATGCATATTCAAATCAATAATATTTTAATGCATGTACATATGTTTGATGCAATTCATGGTAAATATCAAATTCACATAATTTAACAATTATGAATATAATGCATATACAATTTATGTAGAATCTGAAATTCGAAAAATGTAAAGTTGGGTCATACAATACGGTGAATATTCATGTTATTAGGGTTGCAAAAAAATATCGAGATAAAAATCGTTGTTTTGAAAGAACCTGATTGCACGATGATATGGATGAACTGGTTTGATGCAGAAAAAACTTCAATGTCAGATTCCTAAGCGCAGCGGTAGGAGTGTGCTGATAACGTGTTGTAGCTTATTTTATCTGACAAAGAGAATAGGGCCAACGGCAAGGGTAGAGAAATTGAGAGATATGTGTTTGTAGAATTATAGGGGAATGTGTGTGTTATCCCTCTTACATAATACCTTTATTTATAGTAGTAAAAGAAAGAAGAAATTTCTACATCCCAAAGAAATACAAGTTGTAATAGAAAATGATAACTAGAATCAAATCTAATATAGGATCACGTTTAAACTAAGACAATTTATAACACATTAGATTATAAGAGCATTTTTACTCACAATTATTGATGCATTTATTGGACTAATAATATTCCATCGAACAAATCCATCGACAATTACGGGATCTCACTCTCTCAGAAGTCAGACCTGCTCACATCAATTTGTCACCATCTCCCGACCCCAATACGGCGTCGTCCGGGATACCGTCCGCTCAGTAGAGGTAGATGGGGTTGTTTAAGAGGATTGCGGGGTTACCAGGGTTTGCCAAGGACGACGGACTCGAAGGCAAAGACAACGATGAGGAAGAAGACAACGATGACCACGCCCAGAACCGGGACCACTTCCAAGAAACTGGGCATCCCCTCAAAGGCTTTAGCGTTCCCGTCCAGGTCACCGTTGACCGTAATCTGCCCGGCCCCGTCCTCGTTCCTTGTCGTTCCGGCGACGGCGGTGTCCAGGTACCTCGATTTCCATTGATTGATTGAATGGTTTTGGAAGAGTCGTAATTTTGCAGTGTTTGGTCAAAATTTGGAGAATTTTTTGTTTCAATTGCTTGGTTTCTATGGCTTTAGTCTTTTACTGTGAATTGCTTTGCTGCCATCGTTCAGTAAAATGTGGCAATGTTGTAATGTGGCGGGTACATGACTCACGGATGAGCCGAATTTAGAGAAAACCAGTTACTGGATGGAAATTGAGAGACTAGGGGTAGTGTGGGTAGGAATTTGTTTCATTTAGAATGCTCGGAAAAAAGTTTGTTTACCAAATGTTTGGACGAGGGACTTTTGAAGTCCTTGGAACTTTAGACTCAACAACAACGGCAAAGCCTTATGAATCCTAAAATGTAATTGTGCTTGGTTTTGTTCCATGTCTTCTTCTAGTTCCGAGTAGTCCACGTCTTTTCTTAAAGCCTCTTTCCATGTCTTCCTAGGTCTCCCTCTATGCCTTTGGTCCTGAGCCTCTGTCTCATAATCCTTGGACTACTCAAGCACGACAATTCTACTACTAAAACATTAGAAATGCACTAGAAAGACACATTGAATGAGGAGTTTCAAAATGACAACTTGAAAGCTGTCGTAGTAATCTCAAATGTAATGCATCTAGTTATTTTCAAGTCCCTCAATCTGATTTTTGTGTGCATATAGTCATTTTCAAATGCGCAATAATGTTGAGAGGTTGCGCAACATGACAATTGAGAGCATGTAGGTGATTGAAGAATCTTACATTATAGAAAGTTAAAAACAAAACGGTTGTTAGGGTGAGCTGTGTGCACATTGACATTCATCTTTAATGGTGATTCTCCCTCGTTTGGAATAATCAAGTGTTAGGCTATTCAATTAGAACTCTGGTATTCTTTTGGAAGCAGTTGTGTTTGTAGAGGTAGACAGGGGATTATTGTTCACTCGTGGGACTTCTCTGTAGACGGATTTTCATCTCTTTTTCTTGTAGGAGTGAACTATTTGTAATTGGAACAATTTTGTTCTGCCTATAGCTTTCCTTAGAGTATCACAGTATCCCTGAAGCAGAAAGTTGAGCATCCTTCATTTTCCTGTTGAGTCAGCATTCTTCTGCTAGCTAAAAGCATGAGAATATTGGAATGAAGATTTCTCTTCTGTTTGTAGGATATTATTTCTTTTCCTTGTTCACCCAGTGTAGTTTAAACTATGTTTGTTTTATTTCATACCCTGGATTAGGTTATATTGCACAAAATCCTGAAACAATGCAAATTTGCGTTAGGTAGATCCATTGATGGACTTCAAATCTTTGGATACAACAACAACAACAACAACAAAGCCTTTTCCCACTAAGTGGGGTCGGCTATATGAATCCTAGAACGCCATTGCGCTCGGTTTTGTGTCATGTCCTCCGTTAGATCCAAGTACTCTAAGTCTTTTCTTAGGGTCTCTTTCAAAGTTTTCCTAGGTCTTCCTCTACCCCTTCAGCCCCGAACCTCTGTTACGTAGTCACATCTTCGAACCGGAGCGTCAGTAGGCCTTCTTTGCACATGTCCAAACCACCGTAACCGATTTTCTCTCATCTTTCCTTCAACTTCGGCTACTCCTACTTTACCTCGGATATCCTCATTCACAATCTTCTCCTTTCTCGTGTGCCCACACATCCCACGAAGCATCCCACGAAGCATCCTTATCTCCGCTACACCCATTTTGTGTACGTGTTGATGCTTCACCGCCCAACATTCTGTGCCATACAACATCGCTGGCCTTATTGCCGTCCTATAAAATTTTCCCTTGAGCTTCAGTGACCTACGACGATCACACAACACGCCGGATGCACTCTTACACTTCATCCATCCAGCTTGTATTCTATGGTTGAGATCTCCATCTAATTCTCCGTTCTCTTGCAAGATAGATCCTAGGTAGCGAAAAACGGTCGCTTTTTGTGATCGTCGCTAGATTGCTCCGGTCATTAGTGTGGATAAGTATATAAATGGATAGAGATAGGAAAGCAAACACTAGATGTACGTGGTTCACCCATATTGGCTACGTCCATGAAATAGAGGAGTTCTCATTAATTGTGAAGGATTTACACAAGTACATAGGTTCAAGCTCTCTTTTAGTGAGTACAAGTGAATGATTTAGTACAAATGACATTAGGAAATATTGTGGGAGAATGATCTCGTAATCACGAAACTTCTAAGTTCTGGAGTGTGGTATCGTCTTGACTTGCCTTATCTGTCTCGTAGGTAGATGTGACATCTTCTCTGGAAGTACTCTTCCTCCATCCAGGGGTGGTATCTTTAACTGGTGGAGATGCATAAGGTAATGTATCAATTTCACTTGAAGCTTACTTGTAGTTTCAGGCTTGGTCAAGCGCGATACAAACCATGTAGTAGGAGTCCTCCAAGTCGCCGAGCTAGGGGATCTGCTGAAAGAGATGACAGACAAGGTAAGCAATCAGAGCTCCAAGCAATCAGTCCCAGATCAGAACTTTGATTTCGAGTTTCGGCTGATTGTTCACATTCTCCCTATCTTGCAGGCAGCATGAAGGATAAAGAGAAGAAAAATGAGAAGAGATGATATGGGATACTTTTGCTTTTGAAGAAGTAACTTTCCACAGGCTTATTCTTGAACTGGGCTGGAGGGTTTTCTGGTTTCCTCCAGAGTATAAGGCCGACTGAAGAATTTGAGTGTCAAAACAAGTCCATCAAATCTATAGTACGTTCGACCCTGCTGATATGGGATACTTTTGCTTTTGACAGAGTGGATGTATCGGCACGTGTGCTGTTACGCTTGTCTCCACATGCTTCCTTGTATCCTTCTCACTTGCCCTATATATTTCTCAGGCAGATGCGGTATCTTCCCTGAAAGCATAAGATGTTGAAGATGAGTACTCGAGAGCAATGCCAGGTAAGTAATCAAGTAAGGGGTTCCAGGCAGTCAGTTCCTGACTGGAAGCTTGATTCCAAGTGCTGACTGATTGCTCTCTTTCTCCTTGTCTTGTAAGTAAGAACAAGGCCAAAGGAAAAGACAGGGAAAAAACATGATATGGGATACTCTTGCTTTTAACCCTGATGATATGAGATATTCTTGCTCTAGTATAGCTTGTTTGCAGAGGTATTATCGGGGGGAAAGAAAGCTGAATATTTTCGAAAGGCTTCTTTGGGAGTGCCCTCTCAGATATGAGGAAGGGTTGAGCATTTTTGCAGGTCTGCCTGTCTGTTGGGGATGGAGGTCAACATATATAGGAGTCTCCTTAACAACAAGTAGTAATGCTATTCCCTTACCCTGCTTGGTCATAACACGGTAGTAGGAGCTGCCAGCTTCACATGTTTTAACTTTGTCAGAGCACTTTGAAAAAGTGGTCTGTGGTATCTGGAAAGCTGATGTTGCGTGTAAAGATTTCAGACAAGCTTTATCCAAGGAGATCCGGCTCTTGAAGTTGGGAAAGTAGTGCCTCTTCGGTTTTCGAACAAGCAATCCTGTCGGAGATCTGGCTCTCGAGATTCGGAGAACGATGCCTTTTCAATTTTTGAGAAAGCCATCTTGCTAGGGGTCTGGCTCTCGAGATTCGGAGAACGGTGTCTCTTCGATTTTTGAGAAAGTAATCATGTTGGGAGTCTGGCTCTCGAGATTCGGAGGGCGGTGCCTCTTCGATTTTGGAGCAAGCAGTCTTGTTGGGAGTGTTTTTCTCGAATGTGAGAAAAAAGGTTGGGCATGTTTGCTAGTCTATCCTTGCCACGAAGCACAGAGGTTGACACACAGGGACTTTCCAATTATCCAGCAGTGGTACTGTTCCTTTACCCTTGTGGGTAATAATATGGTAGCTAGACCTTCAAAATTTATGTGTCTCTAAACTTTGTTAGTGCTGTTTCTTTGCTATTCTTTTACCCTTCTTGGTCAGAGCGGTGTAGTGGGAGCTGCAAGCTTCACGTGTCTCAACTTTGTCAGAGAACTTTGGCAAAGTTATCTGTGGTACCCATGAGCTAATGTTGCGTGTGGGAAGTGGGTGATTGAACAGTAAGATTCATGTGCTTTCTACTTCACCAGAAATCTTCGACATAATGCCCATAATTTCCGCAAAGCTGACAGGTGCTGACAAGGCTGGAAAAGCAGGTGCCTCTTCGATTTCTGAGATCGGCCCTCGTGGTCTCTCTGAGCAGCCCAACTTTTTGAGAAAGCAAGCGCCTCTTCGATTTCTGAGATCGGCCTTCGTGGTCTTTGAGCAGCCCAACTTTTGAGAAAGCAAACGTCTCGTGGTCTCTGAGCAGCCCAGCTTTTGAGAAAGCAAACGCCTCTTCGATTTCTGAAGCTCCGTGGAGTGCAGATTTTTATAAAGGCTGGCATTAAGTTCCAAAGCACACTTGAATCTCCACCAGTAGAAGCTCCATTCTTGCACTTCTAAGATCTTGATTTGTCCGACCTCTTCTCTCTTCAACACCTTTGAAAATGTCTGGCCCCTCCGACCGTCGTTTTGACTTGAACCTTGTTGAAGAGGCCGCCACGCCTTCTCCAGACAACAACATATGGCGCCCATCCTTCGTCTCCCCTACTGGTCCTCTTTACTGTTGGGGATTCTGTGATGAAGAATGATATGACCGCTGCGGTAGTGGCCAGGAACCTTCTCACTCCCAAAGATAACAGACTACTTTCCAAACGGTCTGATGAGTTGGCTGTTAAGGATTCTCTGGCTCTCAGTGTTCAGTGTGCAGGTTCTGTGTCTAACATGGCCCAACGCCTATTTGCTCGAACCCGCCAAGTTGAATCATTGGCGGCTGAAGTGATGAGTCTCAAACAGGAGATTAGAGGGCTCAAGCATGAGAATAAACAGTTGCACCGGCTCGCACATGACTATGCTACAAACATGAAGAGGAAGCTTGACCAGATGAAGGAATCTGATGGTCAGGTTTTACTTGATCATCAGAGATTTGTGGGTTTGTTCCAAAGGCATTTATTGCCTTCGTCTTCTGGGGCTGTACCGCGTAATGAAGCTCCAAATGATCAACCTCTGCTGCCTCCTCCTTCTAGGGTTCTGTCCAGTACTGAGGCTCCAAATGATCCCCCTCCAGTGCCTGCTCTTTCTGGGGCTCTACCGACTACTGAGACTTCTCCTAAGCAACCTTTGTGAAGGCTCCCTCTTGTTTGTTTATTTTGACTCATGTATATGTACATATTTGTGACTTATCAGGGATATCAATAAATAGCTTTCCTTCATTTCAACGTATTGTGTTGAATACACCAAAGCCTTCTTCGCTAAGTTCTCTGAATTTTCTTTTGTTGAAGCTTGTATGTTGAAGCTTTGTGAGTGGAACATGTAGGTTGAGGTAGTATTCCCTTAATTTCCCGAGTGAGGAAAACTTCTCGGTTGGAGACTTGGAAAATCCAAGTCACTGAGTGGGATCGGCTATATGAATCTTTGAATGCCATTGTGCTCGGTCCTGTGTCATGTCCTCCGTTAGATCCAAGTACTCTAAGTCTTTTCTTAGAGTCTCTTCCAAAGTTTTCCTAGGTCTTCCTCTACCCCTTCGGCCCTGAACCTCTGTCCCATAGTCGCATCTTCTAATCGGAGCGTCAGTAGGCCTTCTTTGCACATGTCCAAACCACCGTAATCGATTTTCTCTCATCTTTCCTTCAATTTCGGCTACTCCTACTTTACCCCGGATATCCTCATTCCTAATCTTATCCTTTCTTGTGTGCCCACACATCCAACAAAGCATCCTCATCTCCGCTACACCCATTTTGTGTACGTGTTGATGCTTCACCGCCCAACATTCACCGCCCAACATATCTGGACTTAATTTTGCTGCCTTTATATTTGAAACTATAACCACTTAATAGTTCTAGCAAAACCGCAGTTATTATTTCATTAAGATTTCACTTATCTTTTGGATTAATAAAATTGGACAACGCGATGGTTCTTTCATTGGACTTGATTCCCTTCAATACACTCACTCTAAATAATTTTTAAGATTTTGTGGTTGGTTGATTGACTGATTGCAGAGAGTTTAGTTTAGTTTATGCAGTCATAGTTAGAATCTGTATCATTCTATTTGTTATTATTGTAGGTGTTGGCTATGCTGTAGGACAGGGAGATGAAATTGAAATACTGTCAGAAGTCTGGAGATGATCCAGATGCTATTATAGTATTTTTCTGGAAATTTTGTTTTCCTTCTTGTAACAACACATGGATTTTTCTTTGTTATGTTTGTTTGAGCTCTTTGGATCCTTTTTATCTCCATGGCCGGAGTGAAGCAAGTAACATTGCTCATTTCCTATTATCTCTGCGTCCAGGGTCTAAGATGGCATGCAAAGCGACTCAGAATAGACGAAGATGGAGATGTAGCAGACGAGTTCCTTGATAAGGTCTTCCCAGGGATGTCAATCGGTACAGAAAATAATAGGGCGTTACCAAGGTTTGAAGTGAAACACAATACGAAGCCAGCTAAAGTGAAGACTCAAGCCTTGCATGATGGGAATATCTGACAGCACGTGGAATACCAGGATAGATCGCAGTGGAGATGAAGACTCCTATAACAGGTCATCAAGTCTGGGGGTTTTCGATTAATTTTCGTGGTCTGTTAACTTTTTCAGTGAATTTGTCAACCGTGTTCTGGTGCAGTTAAGAAATGTGGAAGACTACATCCCATTGTATTAAATACCTAAGGTTTATGGTATGAAAGTTGTATCCTTGAAAGGTTTTGGGTTGTACTGTTGGTTGGAAACAAAGTATCTTGGACCTGTGTTTGTGGATTTGCATGTAGGAGTCGAATGTATACATTTATAATTCAGTAATATACGCAGGTAGTGGAAATGCTAATTCTGTGTTCCTTTGTTTTCTGTGATCAACATCGATACGTAGTTTCATTCATTCTTTGTGGTATTACCCCTTCTGTCTTCAGAACATTCCTGTTTATTTTTATTGCTTGATCATTTATCTTCTAACTCATTCATTCAATTCAAGATGAGGAATTAAGAGGGTTTTGCACAGGAAGAAAATGGGTGTATGAAAATCATTTTCCTAGTAGAAAATTCTTGGTAATGGTGGGTTTTCGGCCTCACTTCGGGCTTCATTTTCTCCTTCAAAGCTGTATTCTCTCTTTCTCCAGCCTTTGCGTAGATCATTTCCAGTAATTTTATTAGACTTGGGAGCTGTAGGATAGTTTCTAATGTACATTTTACATTGTATGACCGATTTCAGGTTTTGGTTTTTAGGATTGTGTTACTTTGTCGGACATCTTGTTCACTGTAATTTGTATTTTGTTTTTGGCGCTTTAGTGTCGGTTGTCATTGGTATATGATTTTCTCAGGAGTCGTTTAATAATTACTTAGCGGTTGTTTAGTACTCCATTTGAATCCAATATTTTAGACTCAAAATTACTTTTTAAGTTTTACACCTTGAATATTTGTTTGGTTGGACTGTTTTCAAAAATTGAACTCAAAACTAACTTAAAAATTAGCCATCTTCTAGAAAACACAAAAAGGAGTTTTTAGAACTTTTAAACTATGTAAACCACCACTACTTTCTCTCTTTTCACCGATCTTTCTCTACTAGCTCTATATTTCTATCTTGTCTTTCTCTTTCCTTCCTTATCCTCTCTCTCATTTCTCATCCGGCCTTTCTTTGGATCTCTTTGTCTCTCCAATTGAATTAGGTAGTAATTTCAAAATCCACAAGAAATTATTGTAGGTTATTTTTTTTCTTTTCTTTTTAATATTAAAATTTGAAGACAACTTTAAATCTCATACCAAACAAGTTTGTGGATCTTAAAAAACATTGTTTTTGAAAGATGCTCTTAAAAAATGTTCTGAAAAATTTTGAAATTTTTTTTAATACGATACCAAACAGGCCTTTAATTTTCAATTTTAGTTTCTAGTTTTCACATTCTTGAAAGTTGAATTCAAAACATAAAAAACTACTTTCAAAATGTAACCTTGAGTTTTCATTTTTTTATTTTTTGGAAAACTGAAACTGAAAATAGTTATCAAATAAAATTTTTATTTTCAATTTAGCTTAAAACAAAAAATTAAAAATTAAATGATTATAAAAAACTAAAGCATAAAAATTCAAATTTAGAACGTCTTCGTCGCTGTGCTCATCTTCGGTAGTGAATAGCTAATGCTCAGAATACCAAAAGAAATTAATTCTATATAATTATTCGACAAAATTAGTCACCACGCATTACTCCATGCAGAAAACTTCACCACTCTCAGCCATATATGTTCATCTACATGACAAGCTGCTGCCTTTTATTGAAAAAGTCCCAATATACATACATACATCGGGTGGACAGATGGCATGATACTAGTGGGTTGCAGTCATGTGCTGGTGTTGGTGGTGGGCCATATGCATAGGGTTATTATGGCGCGTGGCAACAAGCGGTTGGTGGGCATGATGAGCATGGGATTGTTTGGAGCTGATGAGTTTCTTCTCAGCATGCCTGGCTTTGGCTTTGTGCCGCTCCATCCTTGCTCTCGCCTCCTTCACTTTCCTACGCTCTTTTGCCATCTTTTTCTGTTCCTTGGTCGTCGCCGCTGCTGCCTCTTTTGTTGTAACTTTCTGTTAGTTTCATATCAAATCTCAAACATATCAACAATATGACTATAGAAAGTACTCTTAACACTTATTAATAGAGCATACTTCTACGATTATTAACCGTTTTATAACTATTTCATTTAAAAACTAAAAACTAAAATCTTGTATGATGGCTAATTTTTAGTTTAAAAAAATGAAAAATCCATGATGACTTTAAAAAAAAAAAAAAAAAGATATTTTGAGCACTCTGGGAAGTAAACTAAGCCTCACAATAGGGTAACACATTATTCAAATTCGCTTTTTGGTGAGAATCGAACATCTCAGTTAAAGTGAAGAAGAATATCACCTAGACCGCAGTATTAAGTAGTAAAATCCACAATGACTTATGTGAGTTTTCAAAATTTGATTAACCGGGGTCTTTATCTGCCTAATTGTAATTTGATGGACTTCTTCTACTTTTTTTGGTTTTCAATTTTATTTTAAAAACAAACTGAAAATTAAAATTTATTACCAAACAAGATTTTAATTTTAAATTGTAAAAAAAAATAAAAAAAATAAATTGATTGAAAATGGAAAAGTTATCGAACTACCCCTTAAAGTGCAAACAGGAATTGTGATAGAAAAATACAACTATTTAGGCAGGAATTTCTCTGGAGAAGGCCCCTGGCTTGAGCACACAGCTCCCCGAGGAGTTGGCACTCGGGTTGGTTGTCGAGCTCCTACTTGTTAAAAGGCTGTAGGAAGAGGACAAAGTTAGTTCTAAAAGATGCCTTTGTAGGGCCTTAGGTGTAGGCCTTAAGGCTCGCAATCAAAACTAACTAAGTGCTTAGGCATGCCACTGCCATCTTAGTATGGCAGATGTAGAACAAGTGTGTTTAAGTCGATTACTTGCACCCCAAGTTATTTTGATTCTTGTTATCAAAGGATTGTCGTAGATGGGTTAAGTCTACATTAAGTTCTTTTATGTGCCTTGAGATCAAGGACTTTTATTATCTTGTATGCTTTAAAGGTTAGAAGTTCAGATCTGATTAAGTCATCGGTCTAGTTCCTGTTCAATCTTTTATAATAGTAAAACTACTAAATGAACTAGATCTGAGTGCCAATGGAACCTTTGATCATCAAATGAATGGAAATGACTTGAATATATACTGGAGAGTACATCATAATACCAAATCTACTAATTGAAAGATAAAACAAAGAGAGTCAGGCAAGATTTCACCTTGTCGGGCAAGGGTGAACGTCTTGCAGTTTCTTCTCTTTGTGATTACAGAGGTTTGTGTGTTAAAAGGGATAAGTGGTAAACAAGTTTACATGAGGGAATCGATACTACAACATATGGAGAAGATAGCAGAGCTTTTACATTGGACAAAAGATGACTTTCTAAGGGAACTATTGCTAAAAAGGGTTTGGAAGGTACAAACTGGCTTGAGAGCAGAGTTTGTATATTTGTTTGTTTGATTGGTTGAGTGTCATTATCTCTGGGCCCTGTCTTCCCTTTTATAGGCAATTCATCTTGGCTGTTGCAAGCTATGCTCGGAAGCACTTAGTGAGTCATCATTTGTTTTACATGTTCTGCCATTCGGAATGTGTTTTTGGGCTGAGAGTAAGTTGATTTCCATCAGTTATCACTTCCCTTGTAAGCACTTAGCCTTTGCATTAATGGGGAGCTGACATATTGTCTTGAGATGGATGGATAGGCCTGGAACTAGGCCTCAGGCAAGTCTCCTTCCTTTAGCTCTTCTTGGCTTTCTTTCTTTTAGGTCCAAATTTAAATATTAACCCAAACAGTGCCCCCTTCAATCGTTGTTGAGCTTGCAAACCGAGGCGTAAAAAATGATTGAATAGCTGCTTCACATTAACCACCGTCGCACGCCCTTACTCGAGACTCGCGCCATTTAATGCAGCCGTTGCTTAATGAAACTCTTGTAATAACCCACACCTTTCATCGTTAAATAGTCATTCACTATATTAATCCCAATTCACCTCTCAACCAAATATCAAAATCTCTCTATGCCCTTGAATTCCATAACTCACCAGAATTCACTGAATTTTTCTAGTATGCTCTTGCTTTTCAATTCTTGCCCTTCTATTTCCAACTGTCTTCCCATTTTTCTCTCAAAATCAACCAATAGCAACCAAGATCATTTGTACCCAATCTTCTTGCAAAATTGGTGAGGGAATTTCCATCATGCACTTTCTGCTCAACGACCTTTATTGCCCTCGAGCAGGCATGCATACTTCTTTTTTCTTTGATGAAGGAGGAGTACACTCGCTAGGACCTGCATAGATTTCTTAGGTCTCAATTGCTGTTAGAAACAACATGCCTAAGGAGAAATCAACTTTTATAATATCTTCGGAAAAGCACACTGCTTCCAACCTCTGTTTTAGGACTTCTATGACATTGAGGAGTAGCCGAGCAGCCTTAATTGCACCGGTAGATTCCACTCATGCTGATATTCACAAGCTCAGACTTCCTCATAACTTCTATTTTCCTGATCACTTCACCATCATAGGTGTATGCTTCATGATCAACTGCCATGACTTTGTCGGTCAGAGTAACTTGGTCTGGCTTGTGGGCGAAGGCTCAAAAGATTTGAAGAAGTTTGAGACAGAAAATGTAAGCCGGACATGTTGGCACATATTTAGCTAATAGTGACATTGTTTAAGAGGAGTTGGGTGAAATGTAGACCCAACATTCTAGGATAGCTGCCCTAGTCAAAGATGTAAAACTATTGAGCTAAATCTGATGTAATTTTCAACATGTACTAAAATGAAAATGACTTCTTCAATTTACTTTGGCTTGCCTTCTTTTCTTGAAATGTAAATATGATGAGCCTAAAACTGCCTTTAGATTCCATGTAATGCCTACACCTCTTCAATGTAACAATCTCTAACATCCCACAAGGTTGGGTGATACTTCTTTAAGAATTTAGCATTAATTGGATGCTTCTGTAAGCTTCCCTCCAAATCTACCAAGTAATATCCCCCTTTGTCCAATACTTGGTGAATAATGAAAGGACCTTCCCAAGTCGGGCTCCACTTCCCAAAACTTCTAACTTGAGCTCCCAAAAGGAGAATTGCCTTCCACACTAACTCTCCCTTTTTGAAGTTCTTCAACTTCACCTTTTTATTGTATGCTCAGGCAACAGCTTCCTTCCCTTCTTGAATTTTATTTAAAGCCTCAATTCGGGCTATATCAAGATCTTCAACTCCTTGACACATAGCTTAAATGTACTCTTCACTGTGTAGCTCGAATTGATTTTGAATTCTGACAGAACTTACATTAATCTCCATAGGGAGAACGACATCTTGCCCGAAAGTTAGAGCGTAAAGAGTAGTTCCAGTTGCTGCCCTCTTGGAAGTTCTTTAAGCCAATAAAGTATCTCCCAACTTCTCATGCCATTTCTCTGGACTCTCGGCCACCATTCTCTTAATAATGTTTACCAAGATCTTGTTGCTGGCTTCTGCTTGGCCGTTTGACTGGGGGTAGTAAGGACTAGACTGAACCATTTTTATTTTGAACTTATTTGCAAATTCCTTTACTTCTTTTGAAATAAAAGATGGTCCGCAGTCTGTGACAATTGTCTTGAGCACCCCAAATTTGTGTAAGATCTTGGTTTCAATGAATTTCTTGACCACATTTGAGGTTATGGTCTTCATTGTTGAAGCTTCTACCCACTTGGTGAAGTAGTCCATTGCCACAATTATGAACGTTTGCCCTTTGCTAGAAGCTGGATGAATTTGCATGATGATGTCCATCGCCCATCCTCTGAAAGGCCAGGGCTTGACCACAGGGTTTAAGTGTACCGAGGGCACATGTTGGAGAGGTCCATATCTTTGGCATTCTTCATATCCTTGGGCATAAACTTTATAGTCCATTTCTATCTTAGGCCAGAAATAGCCATATCTTCTGAGCAACCATCTCATTTTATTTCCAGCTTGATGTGCACCACAGATTCCCTCGTGTACTTCAGCCATTACCCTCATGGATTCTTCTTGGCCTAAACACTTCATTAAGAGTCATTCTGGAGTCTTTCTCAACATGGTTTTATCCCACATGACATACTTAGTCGCTTGTCATCTATTTTTCTTGCTTATGGGGAAGGATGGATTGTTTAAATACTGGACAATAGGTGTCCTCCAATCCTCCATCTTTATTTCTTCAATCATTACATCTAGGCTGAATCCTCTTTCAAAGATAAAAAGGAGATTTCTTTTCTGAACTTCTATATTGCCTTCAAAGTTCCTTTCTTGAATTGGTACTCCAGAAGCTAATTGTTCCTTTTCATTGGCAATCGCATTTGATTCTTTAAGGATGTAGCTAACTGATATTTCCGTGCTCCAATAACTCAACAACTGAGTGGCCACTAAGTGATAACCAGCCATAGTGATATGCCTACATTTGTATGCTCTATTTAACTGATTAATCACTAGTTTTGAATCACCAAATACCTCAACTCCAGTTGCCCCCAACTCTATCAAGATCTCCAGGCCAATTATCAATGCGTCATACTCTACCCGATTATTGGTAGTCTCTTGATAATTTAGGAGGAATGAGTAACAATGGTGAGTACCTTTGGGATCAATGATAACAATCCCAGCTCCAGCAACATTTTGAGTGTAGGACCCATCAAAATATAGTTTCTAGAGAGTAATCCAAAGGCTGGTTATCTTTTTTATCTTCTGTTGGATCCACTCTTCCTTGCCCGAGAAGGCTTTGTTTGGCGGGATCCACAAGCTGGCCACCTCCAGAGTTCCTGGGACATTGATAATTTCTTCTTGGGACTCTTGATGCTCAGCTAAGAAGTCTGTGATTGCTTGTCCCTTGATCACTCTTTGAGGCACGTATTGGAAACTAAACTTGGATAATGCTAGGATCCATTTTCCAATCCTCCCAATCAACATTGGTTTTAATAGCATGTATTTGATCACATTTGTCTTGGCAATAATGTGGATGTGGCAAGGTAACATATAATGTCTTAGCTTGCAGGTAGTAAAGTATAAAGCCAAACACAACTGCTCTACTGGAGTATATCTCGTCTCTACCTCAGTAAGGATCCTACTGAGGTAGTATATGGCCTATTCATTTCCACCTTCATTATTTTGAGCCAACATGCTTCCTATTGACTTCTCAGAGGCGGAAATATAAAGCTTTAAAGGCTTCCCTCTTTGAGGAGGCATGAGCACTAGTGGAGAAGCCAAGTAAGCTTTTATTCTATCGAACGCCTCTTGGTGGGATAGGCCCCACTCAAATTCTTCCTTGTCTTTTAATCTTAACAAAGGAGTTAGCGGCTAAATCTTGCCCGCCGAGTTAGCAATGAATCTCCTCAAGAAATTGATCTTTCCCAGTAGCCTTTGTAATTGCATTTTATTGTTGGGATGAGGTGTTTCCATTATTGCTCAAGCTTTATTTTTGTCGACCAAGTCTCCTTTGGTGAACGAGGAATCCCAAAAAGTTGCCCAATCTTACCCCAAAAGCACATATCGTAGGGTTCATTTTTAACTTATGGATCCTCATTCTTATCAAGGCTTACCTGAGGTCTACTAAGTGATGCTCTTCAGTTTTAGACTTCACCACAATGTCGTCAATGTATACTTCTATGCTATGGCCGATTAAGTCACGAAAAATGGCATTCATTGCTTTTTGATAGGTTGCACCGACATTTTTTAGCTCGAATGGCATCACCAAGTACTTATAAGCTTTGACATGACTCGGGCACCTAAAAGCTGTCTTATGTACATCTTCTTTAGCCATTTTTATCTGATTGTAACTAGCATTCCCATCCATGAAAGATAGAACTTTGTGTTTGGCAACTGCATCTATAGATAAATTGGCCATGGGCATGTGATATTTATCTTTAGGCGTGGCTCCATTAATGTTTCTATAGTCAACACAACATTGAACTGCTTTAGTTATAGCTTTTAATATAGGTACAATGTTGGCCAACCACTCGACATATTTGGCATGCCTAATAAATCCAGCCTTCACCAGCCTCTCGATCTTTTCTTTGACCTTTTCTTCGATCTCTTTTGACATTTTCCGTGGTGCTTGCTTGACAAGTTTAAATCCATCCTTAATAGGCATTCTATGTTCTACTAAGGTTTGATCTAAACCTGACATTTTGGTGTAATGCCAAGCAAAATAATCTTTGAATTCATGCAAATTGCTGATAATTCTTGCCCGATCCTCTGTTTCCAACAAACCATTGATCTATGTAGGCCTCAGATCCTCCTTGGCTCCCAAATCAATGGTCTCAAAGGGGTCTTGTACTTCTGGGGGTGGCTTGTCAGGTTCTGCACACAAAAATTCAAGCAACTCTGGATTTTCGGGCAAATCCTCTGGCTTGTCCAGATTATATATGCACTCAGCTATCTGTATGGCTGGTTCCAACTCAAAACACTTATCTTCTATTTTGCTACTTGAGGCTTCTTCTTCCCATTACTTTTCTTCTCTGGTTGAACTCTCCCTCTCTTGCTTTCTCTCTTTCCCATACACTAACAGTCTTTTTATTAAGGACCTGACTGCAGCCACTTGGTCATTTCTTTTTGTTTTGACATTACTGATGTTGGGGAGTTAGGATGATATGGGGCTGATCTCATTCTTCCCTTGTAAGAGATATCCCTTATTCTAAAAGCTTCTGAGCCATTACCTTGGTCAGGCAGCCGTTCTTATCAGCTCCTGAACATTAAAGAATCCCAACACTGGGATTATAGAAATTGGCTTCTGCCACGTTGGCTGTAGGAAGGAATGGCCATGATTCGGCCTCTATAATCCAGGTTTTGCTTCCCCTTCTTCATTGTAAGCAACCACTTGTTGGTGTAAGGTAGATGGCACAGAGAGACTCTGATGAATCCAATCTCTGCCCAGTAAAGCTCTGTAAGTGGAAGTATTGTCAACAACAAAAAAGGCCAGCATGATTTGTTTAGAACCCAAGTCAACTTCTAATGGTAGTATCCCATGAGTCCTAGTAATGGCTCCCGAGAAACTGGAAACTGTAAGATCTGTGGGGATGAGATCATCCTTACTTCTGCACATTCTCTTCATCTGCTTGTAAGGCAGTACGTTAACCGCAACTCCACCATCAATCAAGACCCTCTTGAAGGGTATTCCCTCCAAATAAGCAGTTACGTATATGGGTTTGAGATGGTTGGCCATGGCCAAACTCGGGTGGCTGAAGATCATCTTATCTGTATATATCCTTTCAAGCTCCCTCTTTGCCAGTTCGAGCATATCTGTCTTGCTTGATTCCCTTTTCTCTATCTCTTCGACACTAACATGTGCCATAAGAGGTTCTGTTGCTAAGTAATCACCCTCTATCATGGCAGGTTGATCGTGCTTAGGACAAAACATGGCAGATAAAACATATGTCATATTTATGTGGAAGTTGCTGGGTCTAAGTAAGTCTTTCTCTTTGGCTTGGATATGCTCTGCAAACTCATCCAACCAATCCTATGCTTCTTTTGGTAGTACTAGTTTGGACAAACCTCCCTCATGGGTTATGCCAAAATTTTGCACTTGGTCCATGTCTTCACAAAAGGTATCAACCAGCAATGGTAAGGGTATCCCTCTCTCGGGTGAAATAGTTCCAAAATATATTGGCTCTGGGCTCCATCTTGGGGTTGGTATCATTATCATATCCTCTTGAGCCTTTCTCAGAATTCTATATTTCCTAGGATGGGGGTACTGCGACACATGGTTTCTTTCCCTTTCAGCTTTGCTATTAGCCTTCTCCACCTCCTTCTTGATTCCCTAATAGAGTTGATTCCTTCCCCCATTGGGTACTTTCTCAAACTTTACATTCTCAGAGGTTTATGAGGCAATAGGGATGGGGACCTTCAATGAGTTCATGTGGGCTTTATGTTGCCTCTGTACTCCTCTAAGAGCAGTTCCATCGGAGGGCTTTTTGCCCAGCACCCAGCTGAAAAAATAGGCTAGCACCTAGTGAATCCCCTCCAGCCGACGCAATTGACTAGCGCCCAGCCCAAGCCGGTCTCTAGCCCAGTCCAAAATTGACTGAGGCGTGGCCCGGTCCATCTGACGCCAGCGTGGCGTCCGACGCCTGGAACCCCGTCCCGATGCTTCGAACTCCGTCTCCGGCGAGGAAGACGGCTGGACGACGCTACCTTCGAGGACGAGGCTGCCGACCCGGAACTTCCTGTTGAGGACGAGCTGGTCTTGGAAGCTGTTGAGGACGATGACATCAAATCCGGCGATGCAGCTGAAGGTCAGGGCGTAGGTCCAGAGGCGGCGGGTTTGGAGCTGGCGAGCCCAGGCGCCGATGTCGACTAGTTTGGGGCGGGTCAGACCGCGAAGGGCGGTGGAGAGGAAGCGGAGGGTGAAGGGGAGGTGGAGATTTGATGGAGGGTGGAGATGGGGAGGGTGAGAGAGAGGGCTCACGGTGATGGTGAAGGAGAGAGAGGGAGAGAGAGCTCACTGCCAAATTATTATTTTTTATTATTTTATAATAAAAATAATAATATTTTAATAAAATGGACTAGGCTATTTTTTGTTAGGGGTGGAGATGCTTTGGCCTATTACTGTTTATATGGGTTTATTACTGTTTATTAGGGTGGATAAATGCGCTGAGTGCTAGCACAAAGTCCTTCGGGGTGGACTTGCTCTAATCATAGAGGCTCCCATTTCCTTAACGGGCTTCCCATCCTTTCCGACCAAGTCAAGAAGGATTATTCTTTGTAATTGGATTCACAATTCTCCCATTTACTCTAACATTTCCATCGGCATAGCTTGGTTGGGATGGCTTCACATCCACCCATCTTGGTACCTTGGCATCTCTGTCTTCTACCTCTTCATAAGCTTCATAATTTCTAAAGATTTTTTACAAGCCCTTTGGTTGAGAATCTCCTCCCAATCTTTGGAAAACATTCTCAGAGGTCTCTCTTTCAGCTGCCCACATATCATTTTTGTGGGCCTCTTGCTCTTCTTTTTCTCTTTTTTTGATTAGCTTCTGATCAATAATGGCTCCGGACACTGGGACTTCTAGCTCATACTCACATTGGCATCTACCACACAATACTACTCCTTTGATTTTGGTCGCCTTGGGTTTCTTGGGCAACTTGATAGCTTCCTTAGTTGGCCTGTCAATTTGCCTTCGTTCTGCTTTCAACTCCCAAGTAGCTTTTCCTTTCCCCTTTTCAGCCCACATTAAGTTGATCACGTTTATTAGGGCATCTGGAAAATGATCTGTATCAACCATCATATTAGCCTGCGGTTTTTCCAGCAACAGCTTTCCTTTGACAATGATATCTTGTATCCAATCTCTAAACTGGACACAGTTGGTTATGGAGTTATTGAAAATGTAATGCAGCTTGCAATACTTTTTCTCTCTCAGTTCTTCAGGCTTGGGCAACTTTTTGGTGATGTCAGGCACGATGACTCTTACCGAACCAGCTCTTTATAGATTTTAGCTGCCTTGGTTAGATCAAAGGAATAGCTTTGATACTTAGGGGTTTCATTGGTACGAATCCACCATCATTCATGACCACTTTATGGTCTTTAACTGGTTATACCAATCCCTTTATTGTCAAAGGCTTAAAGGGAATGGTCATCTCTGCTGTACACATATCAATTCTATCTCTTCCACAGCCATTATTTTCTTCTAGCTTCATCCCTTTGAACTCCATTTGATGAATGGCAGCCTTGTTTTTATACAATGGAGGTACTTTGGAGGAATGCTTTACTTGCTGTTCCTCGATCAACAATTTTTCATACTTGGTGGTAGTAATCACTAGTTCTTACAACTCAGTAAATTGTACATCATAAAACTTCTTCCTCAAGGGTAAACTCAAGGCCTTCTGAGCAATAGTTATAAGGTGGACATGGTTGATAAGAAATTGGCATCTCATTCTTGTCTTCCTAAACCTCATCATGAAGTCCTAGGTAGATTCATGCTCGTATTGATTTACCTCAACTTGATCGTTGATGGTCATTTCTGGCTCCATCCTGTAAAACTGCTCATGGAAAGCTATCTGCATTTGCCCCCAATTAGCAATCGAATTTGGAGGCAAAAGAGAATACCACTGAGATGCTAACCCCATCAATGAATTCCTAAACAACCTTAACTTATAGTTAGGATTATCTTCAAATGCCAAACAATGGTTGGAGAATTTGAAGATATGGTTCCTGGAGGACGAGCTATGATCGTTGCCTGAGTTAATCTCTTTTCTTACTTCGGACTTCCTCCATTGGGCCTCTCCTCCTTTACTGGCCTAGGGTGGTGGCTTATAAGGACGAGGCTTGTCTGCCTTGGTAGGTTCCCCTTTCCCACTGGATTCCCCAATCAACTAAGGCATCCCATACTTCATCCTTTCTTGCTTGCTCTGCCCCCTACTATTTAGTGAAAATAGGGGGTCGGGCAACTCCGCTTCCAGAATTTCTTCCAACACTGGCTTACTAACTCCGGATCCTTCCTTGTTTTATCCTTTATCCCCATTTTCCTCCAGTAAAGGAAACAAAGGAATAATTGGCTCCATGACAGGGCTGGCTTCTCTCATCATCTCTCTAGTACGATTATTTTCTGGGGTGGAGTACCCCAGATCTAGCTTTCTTTGCAAATTCTCTGTTAGGGAACAAAGTCTACTTACTTCCCCTCAAGTTTCTAGAGAGATTTTTTCCATGCTTCTTAATACAGCAACCATGGTAGCTTGTAGGTCTTCATTTATGACCTTTGCTCATATTTCCTCAGAAGGAGTTGGGCTTTCCGTCAAGACAGGTCCTTGTAGATCTTCAGGGAGATTCGTCATGTTTGATCTTTGGCATATACTGGGGTGGTTTTGCTCTGTTTCCCACCTGAAAGTTTTCTCTTTCCTTCGTCTTCTTGGCATACAAAACTCGTGAAATCCCACCGGGCGTGCCAAAGCTATGTTTGGGCAGGAATTCCCCTGGAAAATGCCCAGGCTCGAGTACACAGCTCCCCGAGGAGTTGGCACTTGGGTTAGTTGTTAGACTCCTGCTTATTGAAAGGCTGCAGGAGGAGGACATAGTTAGTTCTAAAAGGTGCCTTTGTAGGGCCTTAGGTGTAGGCCTTGAGGCTTGCAATCAAAACTAACTAAGTGCTTAGGAGTGCCACTACCATCTCAGTATGGCAGATGTAGAACAAGTGTGTTTAAGTCGATTACTTGAGCCCCAAGTTATTCTAACTTCTTGTTATCAAAGGATTGTCATGGATGGGTTAAGTCTACATTAAGTTCTTTTTGTGCCTTGAGATCAATGACTTTTATTATCTTGTATGCTTTAAAGGTTAGAAGTCCAGATTTGATTAAGCCATCAGCCTAGTTCCTGTTCAATCTTTTATAATAGTAAAACTACTAAATGAACTAGATCTGAGTGCCAATGAAACCTTTGATCATCAAATGACTGGAAATGACTTGAATATATACTGGAGAGTACATCATAATACCAAATCTACTAATTGAAAGATAAAACAAAGAGAGTCGGGCAAGATTTCACCTTGTCGAGCAAGGGTGAACGCCTTGCAGTTTCTTCTCTTTGTGATTACAGAGGTTTGTGTGTTAAAAGGGATAAGTGGTAAACAAGTTTACATGAGGGAATCGATACTACAACATTTGGAGAAGGTAGCAGAGCTTTTACATTGGACAAAAGATGACTTTCTAAGGGAACTATTGCTAAAAAGGGTTTGGAAGGTACATATTGGCTTGAGAGCAGAGTTTGTATGCTTGTTTGTTTGATTGGTTGAATGTCCTTGTCTATGGGCCCTGTCTTCCCTTTTATAGGCATTTCATCTTGGCTGTTGCGAACTTTACCCGAAAGCACTTAGTGAGTCATCATCTTTTTTACATGTTCTACCATTCGGAAAGTGCTTTTGGGTTGAGAGTAGGTTGATTTCCATCGGTTGTCACTTCCCTTGTAAGCACTTAGCCTTTGCATTAATGGGGAGTTGACATATTATCTTGAGATGGATGGATGGGCCTGGAACTGGGCCTCAGGTAAGTCTCATTCCTTAAGCTCTTCTGGCCTTTCTTTCTTTTAGGTCCAAAGTTCCAAACAACAACTTTTCTTGGAGGACAAGTATATAGGGAGAGGATATATATAATTTACCTTTTCTTCAACTTTGGCTTTGTAAATATTTACGTGTTCCTTGGTTGAGCTGGCCATGTTGCTCAACTTCTCCTTTGCATACTGCATTTTTTCCTGAATTTGTCTTACACAGCAGTCAACCAAACTCAAAAGCGACTCTCTAATACGCGGACTAGAATTTGTAGGGAGAAAGAAAATTAAACAAGGGATCTAACGTGGATATAATTAAGAAGCTAAAACCTCTGCAGTCTCCAATACGGCTGTTGGATTTTATATATATAGACGTTCCAGGGCACAAAGGAAAGGACCGTACCCCTAATCTTCAAAGAACCTGCGAAAGGACGCCACTATAACCAACGCATGGCAACCATGCTGGGCCCCTTACGTTGATACCCTGCCTACTGTGACACTTGGGAAGCAACACGTTTGGACGTTATCAACGAATATATTTGATGCGGTAATGTTAGGAATTTGTTGATTAAATATTGAAAATTAAATGTTATGAAAGTAGATGATTAGATTATTATTTAAGTGTTGGTTAACGTGCTTATTTCTTATTAGTGGCATATCATTTAGTTTACAAATTTAATTTACCTAGCCTTATTCTACTTGATAACAGGGAAAATGTTAAGGATTCCACACATTATACATTTATTATAATTTTAGTCATGAACTCTCTTGATTTGTTAATTAAACTAATCGATCAATTGAAATTGTTGTTATACAACTGACCAACGTCTGGAATTGAGAATTTTATTATTCTTTCAAACAAATATCGATGCGTTAAACCAATCAATTAAGACAGTCAGATACATCCCTCAAATTGGATAATATTTAGGTACTCACCAGTGTGTGTATTTTATATATTAATTTGTTAGATTTGGCCCAATTATATTTTAACACATGTTTTATTGTTTTACAAAATAGTGCATATGTTATTTAACTTTTCTTAGACTTTTGAAAACAAGAAACACGTGTTATCTTTTGAGTGTGCCAAATCAGAAAGTGAGCGCATATGGTACTCACTAATGTGTACCTAAGTATTATCTCCTAACTTTGGCTAATCTTACTTATGCCTAGAAATTTAAGTTTAAAACTTCTAAGAAAAATTAAGTGTTGATGCACGAAATTGGTTGGACTTCAGGTTAACGTAAAGTGTGGTGTATAGATCTTTGTAAGAGTGCTTTGGTCAAAGATGGATAGACGAAGTAGCCTACGGGGAATAGAGAGTAAGTATCGAGAGGCACCGATGTGGTACCAACCTAAGAGCCTCCAATGCTTAAGTTAGCAAATTATGTTGACGGTGCCACATAGGCGTGTTTAATGGTAATATGATGTTGAATAATAAATGTGATTTTTGGATGGGTTAGAAATTACCCTTTTATAGAGGTGTAGTTGGAGAAGAATTATCGGCTTAGGCCAATTGGGATGGAATACATTGGATGTGGTGTTGCCACTTGTCGTGTTTTGATTGGTCTCTAATTTGGAGGGAATTCTCCTATTAGTTATGGGAATAGCCACGTGTTGTCACTACCACGTTTAACATTTAGCACGACGAACAGAAATTGGTCACGCAAAGCTTAATGGCATCGCACAAACGTATGCGCGACGAAAACTTCATCTCGTAGAATCCATCACGTAAAGATCGTGAAGAAAGACTTTGAGCGACGAACAAAAGTATTGGTCACGGCAAATAAGGCGCGACGGTTCGTCATTCGCTGCACCAATTTTTTAGGAACAAATATGTTCGTCGTACAAAATGCCAGGATACAAACCTAGGACGACTAATATTTGTCTTTAAAAACTTTGCGCGACGATTTGTTGCTCTTACACAGTGAAAGTTAGTTATTGCAAAAAAGTATGCAGGACGAAACTATTCGTCGCGCAAAAAGAAATTATATTTTTTGTTCTGGGTTTAATTTTGTAATAAAATAATACAATTAATTTGAAATAAAAAAAATGTAATGAAGAGAAAAATAATTTATTTAAAATAAAAATAAAATGTACGTACAAGGAAAAAATTTAAAAGTATAGGACTAAACAAATAAGAAAAAAGGGTGGAATAATCAATGGGATCATCTTTTGCATGTGGCTGGAAAGATTGGGGCAAGAAGGGCTCGAGGTTGAGGACAAGCTCAAAGGTCGAAGGGGCAGAGTTCTGGACATGCTCGAGTTGGAGGGGCTCGAACGTCGACGGGGGACAAATTCCAAATTGACGAAGGGCCTATACAATCAGTGACATCTGACTCTTATTCGAGGCAACCTCAATCCTAAGGTCAGCCACCTCTATTGTCAAAGATGTCACCTCTCCCTTCGACTGCGAGGATGAAGAGGCTCTAGGTTCCCGCAGCCGGGCGTTCCCCAACCCCTGCAATACGTCCCTGGCCTCTGCATGAGAGTCTAATCCAAGGTGCCTGTAAGGATCTGAAACCTCGCATCCTCGGGGGGATCCACAGACTCAGCAAAGTCTTGGGAAGAAGCTGGGAGGCGAACTCTTGAATAACCAACTGCCTTTTCTCCATCATTGTCGCTTGTGTAATATAACATGAAATATTAATAATAACATTCAAATAATAACCATGATACTAGAATGCGTAAGATAGTAATTACAATTGAAGAATACTTACATGATGGGACTCGGCCAACTCATCCCCAGGTCGAACATAACGTCAACAAAGACATCGATCTCCAAGAATTTTGAACCCCGTTGAATAGAGCAAGATAAAAAAAATGTTAGTATAAAAAAAAAAATTAATATTACTAACATATTAAAAATTGAACATGAAAAGCTTTATTATTACCTGTTACCGCACCTCCATCCTATATGAGAAGGGCCTCGAACTCGAATGGTGGAGAAGAGTCTTCTTCTCCCGATTGATCATGTTGGCTATCGCCTTCTTATGTTATACAAACAATATACGTATTAGTTCTAATTTAAATGAAACATGAAAAAATCAATAAACATTGGCAAGAAACGTATAATACTTTTAGACTTAATATAAAAAAACGAACCATATAGCCAGGCTTCTGAAAACGACTACAGAGCCACACCCAATTATCTTCCTGGTCCTCAAACTCCTTCGGGCAACCCTCCTCAAGAGCAACCTGCGGATCATCAAATGGCTGAAAATAGTGGTGCAGGTCGCTTTTCCACTACTTGTATCATTCAGCGAAGAGCTTGTTGATACACGCCAACATATTATCATTGATGTTGTCGAAATTGTAGTTCGTCTGCAATGTAACAAATTAATTACATACATTAAGTAATATAAATATATAAAATTTAAAGGAAAAACAATAAAAGGGCAGAATACTTACCGTCAAATAAGCACTCACCTTCGTCCTCACCTCGTCTGGCATCGTCTTCCGAGACTTCCATTGCATAGGGCAATAGGTCCAAATGATGTGACTAATGACATGGGCCAATGCGCTATGCTGCTTTGGTGTTGGTGCAGCCCGATGCTGGTGGTCGTCTTTAATCGTGATATGTCTGTTGGTCACCCGAGTGACTTGCGCCGTCTTCAACTGGCGACAAGGTCCCCGATTATTTTTCTTTGCTAAAAAAATTGTCAAACAAACACTACAAATTATACCGAAATTTCGGTAAAACCTCCCCTAAAGTTATAACAATTCCCAAACCTTGGACATTGTAATGAATAATATATGATATCCAATAACAATCACAACAGTTGAATAAGCCAAATTTGGACCTAACGCACAGCTGTAGTATGTAAAAATTTTGATTGCACTTACTTTATGAATAACTAAATTTACAAGGAAATAAAGGGAGTTATTTAACTTTACCTTGTTGCCAAGGCATAAGTAATGGATGTTGATGTCGTGTCGGGTGTGCAGGGGCGACGGTGACCACGCCTGGTGCTAACAGGTAGCACCACTGAAGAGGCTAATGACCCCGGCACCTGGGAGACCCAGGGACCAACCAAATTAACCGACTTGGGGTTCATTTCTGTTGGAGCGGTGGTGGCTAAAGTAGGGGGTGGGGGAATCAAACAGGGTGCAATCATCACTGTCTTACGACTTCTAATAAGCTGCGACATCTGCACAATTAGAAAATAATAAATTGCTCTCTGGACTGGTGGTTGTACAAGTAGCCAGTCATAATCCTTCTAAAACTTCTATTGTATTTATCAGATTAATCATATAAGCTTCTCCCATTTATATTAGAAACTTTAAAAAATAATAAATAAAAACAATAACACTGAATCAAGGACATAAGAAAAATTCTATTTCTAATGGAAATTTGTGCAATAAAGTTTTGTGTTAAAGAAGAAAAACAGTGTATCGATTAGGAAAGAAAGCAGGAACATAGGATTTAAGCCACAAAAGCCTAATTACTAAATGCATCTAAGTAAATCAACTATTTATTACCTTAAAGAGGTTTTCAGGGGAAATGCTTTCACATGACTTTGAAACCTAGCATCATAGTAGTTTGAATTAAAATCAAGCAATTACAACAATAAAAACAAGCAGACTAAACCATTAACTCATTAAATTAAAATCAGCGTAGTAGTTTGAATCTTAGCATAAGAAAGATGGAATGTCAGATCGCCAACTAAAAGGACCATATTAACTGGAAAATCGCTAACAAAAAGTAGCAAGGACCTCCCTTTATTCTCAGTGTAGAGAAGTATGCTTCATGTATGACAATAAGTTGGATAAAGTTGATATAAGTATTGATGCTCTAATTACAATTCTAGTTCTGAAGCCTCAAGATGAAATTCGTATATAATTAGGAGAGTTCTACTTAACTAGACATACCTAATAAACACAAGTGAGAAAGAAGAAAGCTCACTTTATACTTTTCATCTTTTTTTGTTAGGGGAAAATGTGCCTGACACCGTTGGGTGTGACCATATGAATAGTATTTTTTGCCCAAGTGTTCAATCAATTAAACTAAAAATATAACAATGAACATATATGTCAACCTGCAAAACATGTATTTCATGCTTCTTGATAGGATAGCAAACCTTATTAAAGAAAGGAACACGAAGACAAAGAATCATATCTTAAACCATAGGGTTGCAAATTGATACCATAAGAGGTCAACTACCACTGCCACTTCCTCTTATTTTACTTTTCTAGTAATA